AAAATTAAAAAATATATATATAAGGATTGATTAAGGATTTAATAGTCTTTTCAATATTTTTTTTTACTGTTGGGGCCCTCGAATTTACCTCTGATGCGCCTAATTTGGGTGTATTTCACGCATTTTGCTGTAGGATTCGAGTGTTTTTTTGTTTAAGTTTTGGATAGTTAAAGTGCCTACTTGTGCAGTGACAAAGTTAAAGATCAAAATTATAATTTGAAGCCAAGTTAATAGTCCAATTTATGTATTATGCCTGAATTTGAGAGTCTCAATGAGGCTTATAATTTTATAGTTGAGTGAAAAAAAAACCCCTATGTTTTAAGTTGTAATAAAAGAATAACCGTTGTAGGAGTCAACTCACTCGTTGTAAGTTATTTTCATCTTATATGAATAATATAATAAAATGCATTATCCAATTTCATACCCTTTAAGTTCCATTAAGGAATAATTTTTTATTGTCAACTACTTTTTTCAATTATTTCTATAAATTGAAGTGATCTTTTTGATAATGTGAGATAGAAATAATACTAACCAATCACTTTTCCTTTTCGATCACATATTTATGAAAAAAATTGTCATCATCATAAAATTTTACTTCTAAAATTTGAAACTCTGAGAATGGACATTGATTGTGTAAAGTTTAGCCTACAAACATCTCAATACATGAAAACTTTAAAAAGTGTTCCACTCACATGGTAACAAACAATTATACGATTGAAGATGAAGATTATTAAGTTTTCCCCTTAACGACATAAGATTCTTGTATCAGTTCTACCTCTTGACGACGATGTATAAGATTGATCAAATTTTAAAGAGTCTATCAACTTGGGTTGTGGTGTAGTGGTGAGACTGTTTCACCCTTAACCAGAGGTCTTGAGTTTGAGCCTTAGGTTTGAAAAAAATCATGTTGGGAGCGCTATCCTTGAATGGGTCATGCAGTGCACGATTCAGATTTAGTCGATGCTCCAATATAGGTTCCGGACACCGAGTGGAAAACTAAAAAAAAACAAAAATAACTCTAATCATTAAATTCTTGGATCAGTTCTACCCCTTAATGACGGAATATAAGATTGATCAAATTCTATCAAGCCCGACTCATAGGGATCAATGATCATTATCAAAAAAAGACTGGCAAGCAAAAGGTATTTGTTGACAATGCCATAGCAGAATTTAACATTCATATAACTTGAACCAATAATCAATACTACTAATCTACAATATCATCATCTTCTTCACCTCCCAAACTCCTATAATTTCCATTACTTTTCCCCTTTCTTCTGTTCCTTTTCCGTACCGCGAATGGAAATTTGTTCATAAAGATATTTGATGATCTTTCACCAATAAGAAACAGAAAGAGAGGAGGAGTTAACGGACAAGTTTCCAAGCTTTGTGCATGATTTCATCGTCTATGTAAAGGCGCAACGACCACATGCTGGAGTAGCTTTCCAGATCTCCAGTTAAGGGAACAAACAATCTTTTCCTGTTACAGGCAAAAAAGGATTAAAGATTACATGCTTAGTTAACTCTAACCCAAGGGAAAAAGATTATTACCTGCATTGTGTCGTCACTTTTTAGCATGGAGTATACTAATAATGCCATCATTATTGCAATATTTACAGACTAGAGAGGATCAACAGACGACGCTCTGCCTACATTGTTATAAAAGATCACGCACAAGATCATGATTCCTTTAGATATTTTTTTTTCCTTCAAGAAATAAGCACACAGGAATGAACCGTGTCTGTATTAATAACTTAAATGTGAAATTTGAGTGAACATTACGAGTTAAAAGGCGAAAGAGTTGGTTTGGTCCTTATGGAATCAAACTTAATGGAAGATGAATTAATATGAAGATTTGGTAGGAAGATAATTAGTACAAAAAAAAAGTCAAGATAGTATCTTGGTAGGCGAAATTTAGGTAAACCATAAAATGGTTTCACATGTTTAACTTTGACATTTTTGACACATAGTGATGTCTTCCAGGAAGAATTCATTCCTATAAATAGGTAGCTCTTAATTCATTTTCAAAGCATCCTCTCACTTGCCTTCTCACCTTCTAAGACATTTGATCTTCTCTCTCGTAGTATTTCACTTGTATTCTTTGTAGAGTGAAATAAAATATTGGTGCAGTGTTCTTTGGTGGACGTAGGATCTTTTTGATCCAAACTACGTTAAATATTGTTGTTCTTCCTTATTCTTTATTTTCATGTTTTCGCTAACAAAAGGAAAAAAGGATCTTACTTCATCATGACAGGTTTCCAACGAATTTGTACCATTGTCAACATTTAGTTCCCCAACTTGAACCAAACTGCAATTAATCGATTGCACTACAGCTTCCGCTTCCTTTAAAAGACATGCAAGTTCATCAACTACAACCTTCGCTGCAATTAAATAAATTGAACTCCAAATCCAATTGGAAAATGTTCACTTAACATAAAAACTGTAATAAATGAAATTATTCTATGCAGGGTAATTCGAATAACAAACAAACCAATAGTAGCGCCAAATAAGCTCTGAGTAAACCCAGATTAACATTGTTTTCTGGGTGAGGAAGATCTCGCATAGAGGCAACAATTTCCTTTGTTTTCTTGATGAAGAAATTTGTCTTTGGGATGTACAAGAACAATATTGGAAGGCCCTGAAAATAATGGGTCTAGTGCTTATGTGCTCAACTCGAGGCAAGCACCAGGCCTGCAATGAGGGATGTCTCTTGTCGAGTTAAATCAATGATGTAAAGATAAAGAGTAGAAATGAAGCATTTAGCAGTGAAAGCATATAAGAAAATCAGATCAGGAGAGTACAATAATAGTCCTTGAAGAATTAATCAGAATTCATAGAAAGGAAAAATGCAAGAATAAACTGGAAGGTCTAGTGCAAGTGACAAATAGATGAAAGACTTACCTCAGTAACAAAATCTGCAACCGAGAGCATAATACAATGCGCACCACCTATAATTATCAGAGCCCAGAAGCACAACTAAAACATACCAGATTCCTGTTCCTATATTTTCTAGCTAGTTGATATGGAAGTGCATTACAAGCCAATCCCCACAAGATGCTGACTAATTTCACGTTAAAATTATTCACCAGAATTTGCATTGGACATATTCATAAGACAACACCACATATGCTGACACGTCTCGTATTCTAATAATAAAGCTCCATTCTGAGACAGATACACTAAATTGCCAAGCTTCTGCTCTTAGCAAGTACTCCTTTGTGCCAAAAGATTTGAGACGAACTCCAGGAATTTGATGCTTGCTCTAACACCAAAGCTAATGCAAGCAGCTCAAAAGAGGAACTATAAAACAGTAACCTCGTTAAAGAATAGCTAGGATAAGTGAAAACCAAATTTACAACAACATACCCAATGTAGCAAACCTTACCTCTACCTTGTGTGAGGTAAAGAGACTGTTTCCGATAGACTTTGCTACAAGCTAGTCCTGATCTTACAGATTACTACATCACCACATCACAGGTTCTAAAAAATTATTCAAAGACTTAAAAAAAAAAACAGGAGAAAAAAGGAGCTCTTGTTGGATTTTGATCAAACAAGATGATAGCAACACCAAATTACTTACCAGAAATTACCTTGAAATTGTTTTCATACGGCAACACCATATATGTTGACAAGTCGCAGTCTTGTAGAGCTGCAGCTTCCATTTTGGGGTCAATCCTCCCAATTCCCAACCTTCTTCCCTTAGCAAAGTGCACTTATGTGCCAAAAGATCGATCTTTGGTTGTTTTCCACTTAATTCTCAGCTTCAGATTCTTTTAAGAGTTGATACACTTGCAACAAGTGATGTAACCATCTCAGAATGATGTGCTTTTAGAGAATAATTAAAATGAGTTTATAAAAGAAATGTGTTTGGTATAGAGAAAAACATTTTTCAATTTTTCCACGTTCGATTAGTCAATTTTTTAGGAAAACATTTTCCCGTCCCCACACCCCTACCCCACCTCCACCTCCCTTTTTTGTCTAGATTATATTGAAATGCTTTTAGGATAATATTTTTTGCTTGCTCACTGAACATAAGGAATAAGCAGCAAACACACTTATTTTCCTTCCTAGTTCCTACCAAACACACCTGAAGACAGGCTAAAGTTTCTTCTAATCAAAATTGAAGAAAACTCTGAATCAATTTACATTCCAAATACAAGAAAATAAGCAGCAATTTCTAATGTTAGAGTTTTTCTAAGATCTAAAAAATGCGGAAGTCCATGCAGTTGAAAACTAGAAGATTCAATGGTACAGAAGCAATTAGAAACGTGGAAACAGAAAAAAAGTGAAATTAGGAATGACATTGTACCAGTTGATTGATGGAGTTATGAGAAGCAAACCAAACTCAAATTATAGAAGACAATAATAATTACTGCATCTGAAATGCATACAAATTCATTTCTGAACATAAATATTTGATTGATATAATCTCCTCAAGGGAAAATCAAGTATGGAAGTTAATTGGAGGAAAGAGGGGCTACAGAGCTCAAGGCCAAAATATATATGTAAATTTTTAGATTCATCAATCTGTTTCTCATATACCTCAATTTTTAGTTAATCTTTTTGTTTTGTTTTTAGTCCGTTTAAAAAAGAAATGTTTCTTTCCTAGTTAGAACAAAGTTTGTGTACTCTGTAATATTTATTATATCGGAAATGTGTCAAGGGGACGTGGACTCTCTCTGAGTGGGTTGAAGACCTGAAATGCGCATGGCCGACAGACAATAAAATAATCGCAGTATGGATCTAAAAACGTGCTGTATTATATTAAAAAAAAAACTGACAGAGACTGACTCCCTCATTAAGAATTATTGAACAACCAGCCAAAGCAAAGCATTAAATATTCTCCTATTTTGGTTGTTTCCTAAGTCATTCATTACCAAATACCACACTAATTAAGCATATGATTAGCTAAGGACATATATTATGAAACAACATTCTCAGGCGCCTCAGACCAAAAATTAGTTCTTGAACTAGCAGCTCAGTGTTTTAAGAGGTCAGAGATGTTCTTGTTTCTGGTTAACTGCCTTCTCTTCTTTGCCAATTTATTTGCAGTCTTTTCGACCTCATGGCCTCAAGATTCTGTTCATCTACTTGGGTTTCGGAGCAGTCTTCCAGAGCTCTCTCAACAATTGCTCCCTTGGAATCAGTCTGTCTCACACTGCCAATGGAAAGGTGTTTCCTGCTATTCAGACATAACTTCTCATGTCAAATCATTGATTCTAACAGACTTATTGCTACCTGGAACCTTGGACAAGGCCTTTCCTAATCTCTGCCGTCTTCCTCGCTTGGTCTCTCTTGATCTCAGTGGCAACCATTTCACTGGTGGCATCCCTGATATGCTCGCAAACTGCAGCCAACTTGACACGATTCTACTCAACGAAAACAGATTTTCAGGATCCATCCCACCTGAGATTTTCAAATCAAGCAAACTCATAAAACTTAATTTGGGTTTAAATCAGCTCACTGGCACTATTCCCTCTGAGGTAAGCCTTTCTACAAACCTTCAACATCTCGGGTTGTGGAACAATTTCCTTAGTGGAAATATTCCAAAAGAGCTATTTGATTTGCCAAACTTGACACATCTCCACCTCTACACAAACGAGCTGACAGGACCTCTACCCGACTTCCCATCCTCGTGCTCCCTTTCCGAGTTCTTTATTTATGAGAACCGGTTCTCAGGTTCTTTGCCAATTACCCTAGGCAATTGTCACAACCTTACTTCATTCTCTGCATCATCTGCTCATCTTGGAGGAGTTATTTCACCAGAGGTTTTTAGGGACCTTTCAAATCTTGAATTTCTCTATTTAGATGAGAACAACTTTGAAGGGGGAATTCCTGCGACCTTATGGGATGGGAGCTTACAAGAGTTAGCTCTTTCCTTGAATAAATTTAATGGTAGTATATCCGAAAAGATTGGTGGTTCTCTTCAGATAAATTACATTGATTTGTCAGTTAACAAATTAACTGGTCAGCTTCCAAGATCAGTTGGACGTCTGAAGAATCTGAACAAGCTTTTTCTGTATGATAACATGCTTAGTGGTTCATTACCAGCAGAACTTGGGAACTGCACTTCTCTTGTTGCGATAAGTCTCGCCACTAACTTCATCGATGGGGAAATTCCTCAAGAGCTCTGCAACCTTCACTCCCTAATAAAATTGCAAGTGTACGGAAATCAAATTCAGGGCCGAATTCCAGAATGCACTGGCAGAATAAGTGGACTGGCGGAGCTAGATCTTAGTGAGAACCGATTGATCGGCAAGATACCACCTGGAATTACAAATATGACGAAACTTGTGTTTCTCTCTTTGGCTCATAATAATCTAACAGGGGAGGTACCACCTAATCTTGGAAAAAACAATTTTCCTGGCTTATTTAAGGTTGATTTAGGTTGTAATAACCTCAGTGGACCAATTCCTTCTGAACTATGTAATGGCAACAGGCTTGGAGTCCTGGTTCTTGAAAACAACAGTTTTAATGGAAGCTTCCCAACATATCTAGCAAAATGTGAATCCCTCTATAGGGTAAAACTCCCCAACAACAATCTGCAGGGGAGTATTCCTGACTACATTGAAAAGAATGAGAAGATTTCTTACTTGAATGTTCGAGGAAATATGCTTGCAGGAAGGATTCCAGCAGCATTTGGTTGTTGGACCAATCTTTCAACAATTGATCTTTCAGAGAATATGTTTTCTGGTTCCATACCTGCCGAAATGGGGAAGCTGCAAAATCTTGTGAGATTGAACATTTCTTCAAACAGACTGACAGGAAAAATTCCTCTTCAGTTGAGTTACTCTGCAAAACTGGCAGAGTTGGATCTCAGCAACAACAATCTTTCGGGTAGAATTCCGAAAGAAATTGCATCATCTTTAGTACTGACAAATCTTCTACTCCAGGACAACAAACTTTCTGGTGCTCTTCCAGACACTTTCTCCTCCTCACAAAAGCTTGTAAAGCTGCAGCTCGGGGACAACTTGCTTGAAGGCTCAATTCCATGCAGCCTGAGTAAACTTACGGAACCTAATGTTGTACTGAATCTGAGCATGAATAAGTTTAGTGGTCAAATTCCTAGGTGTCTGAGCAATCTAGACAATTTAGAAATCCTTGATATATCAAGCAACAACTTGTCTGGCACAATACCGTCAGAAATGGACAAGATGAGGTCCCTTTCGTTTCTCAACATATCATTTAATAACTTTTCAGGGAAGGTACCCATTTCATGGGGAAAACTATTAAGTTCACATCCAGGAACTTCCCAGGGAAATCCAGGACTCTGCTTATCATACACTGAAAGTAGCAGCTGCAAGCATGTGAAAAAATCACAAAGAAACTGGAGGACCTTGGCTGGGGTAATTAGTGGTGTGTTTTCCGTGGCAGTCATAGCTGCGGCAATATACTTGCTAGTGACACGGATTCAGCACCCTTCCCTGCTGAATAAGCATCGGCTCGTCAAGTATGAGGCAGAAATTGAAGATCTGCCAGATCGTATAAATTTTGAGGACATTGTACGTGCAACAGAAGGCTGGAGCGAAAAATATGTAATTGGAAGAGGCAAGCATGGAACTGTTTATAAGATGGAATCTGCGAAATCCAAAAAGCTTTGGGCTGTCAAGAAGGTTGACTTAGCTCAGAGAGCATTCAGCGATGAAATGAGAAGCCTCAATTCTGTCAGACACCGCAATTTGGTAAGATTGGGAGGACACTGCACCAGACATGGATATGGCTTCATTCTAACAGAGTTTATCCCTGGAGGAACTCTTCATGATGTCCTTCACCAGAGAAAACCACCTGTAGTCCTGGACTGGGAGCCCCGCCATCGTATTGCTCTTGGTGTTGCTCAAGGTCTGTCTTACCTTCATCATGATTCTGTCCCTCAAATCATTCACAGAGATCTCAAATCAGATAATGTAATGCTGGATACTGAGATGGAGCCAAAGATTGGAGACTTCGGGATTGCTAAAACAGTATCAGACTCTGATGAAAACTCGACAAACTCCAAAATTGTTGGGACACTAGGATACATTGCTCCAGGTTAGCCACACGTTACTATGCTAGTCTTCAGTAATAATTTAGTTGGCAGATTACTTTTGATGATTTACTAAATTTTATTACTTTCTCCCCCGGTCCCCTCTCCTTCTCCTTGTCTGTCCATCAATTCAGAGAATGCGTACTCAGTTCAATTGACAGAGAAAAGTGATGTCTATAGCTATGGAGTTCTTCTACTGGAGCTCTTCTGCAGAAAAATGCCAGTAGACCCCAGCTTTGAAGAAGGATTAGATATTGTTTCCTGGGTGAGGAAAAACTTGCACAGAAGCGACAACAATTTCCTTCACTTGCTTGATGAAGAAATTAGTTTTTGGTACATAGAAGAACAATGGAAGGCCCTGAAAATGGTGTATCTAGCGCTTCAATGTGCTGAACTCGAGGCAAGCACCAGGCCTGCAATGAGGGATGTAGTAAGGTCTCTTGTCGAGTTAAATCATAGATGTAAAAGAGAAGAAATGAAACTTTGAATAGTGAAAGCCATAATCAACTTTTCCAAATTCCAACATCTTTTTTTTCTTTGCTTACATAAAAATTGAACCATTTCTCGATTTGTGTGTGTCATCCTTTCATTCAAGGGCTAAATTCTAACATAATCGATCCTGGGTGTTTCTGTTTAACTTTGTGACATCCACTGCAATAATATAGACTAAGAAAATGCATGGCGTTTCAAATCAATATATGGTAAAAGCAGTTTTCTCGTTCTAGCCATAGGCTCTTTTCATAATGGGCCACTGTCCTTATCAACTTTTGCTTGTTACTTTCTCCAGCTGCTCGAAAATCTGAACAGTTTTGAGGTATCAAATTAAAAAGAGAGTGGGAAAGAACAAAGATTTGCTACAAGCTAGTATTTATCTTATGGACTATGACAATATGGATTATAAAAGAAAATAGCACTTCATATTCAGCAGATAAAGATAAGCTTTTGTTGGATTTGGTCATAATAGTGATGCATCCACCTTACCAGTCTTCTTTGCATTCCAAACTTCCAGTGACTAAATTATTTTGACAAAAGAAAATAAAAAATAGATATGATGAATAGAAATGGCTTATGGACAATCATTGTATATCATGCACATGCAGATACTTAAAAATAATGTAGATAAACCTCAGGTATGGTTACCACAGGAGGAATGGCAAATACACAGGAAAATCAGATGAGAGAGTACAGTAATAATCCTTGGAGAATTATTAATCAGAATTCCGTAGAAAGGAGATATGCAAGAGGTGAAAGAACAAACTGGCAGGACTACTGCAAGTGACAGATTGATGAAAGACATCCTCAGTAACGAAAACTGCAACACCGGAGCATAATACAGGACACACCTAAATAATCATCAGGGTAGAAGAAGCCCAACTAAAACATTGCAGATTCCTGTTCTGGATATTTTATCTAGTTGATTTGGATGTGCATTACAAGCCAATCCCCACAAGATTTTGACTACATTTCAATAAAAAGTTATTCACAGAATTTGCATTGGACATATTCTCGCAGCAACACCACTTATGCTGATAAGTCTAAGACTTCTAGTAATAGAGCTTGCAACGCAGTCAGATCCACATTATAAAGAATCAAATCTCTACAATCTTTTTTATTAACACTATAAAGCCAACTTTTGCAAAAAGCTTGAGTTCTATAACTTGCTTACATTTTCTTGAAAAGAACTATTCCAACCAATCATGATACTGATAATTGATAAATATATCCCTACATGAATATCTCAATGTAACATATATTTGTCATTGTACCTACGTTATATGAATTATGAAACCTAGTAGTCAGGTTCCTAGACAATCTGCAATATATCCCTTAAGCTTCTTTTCACCTCAAACTATTTTGGTCAATCAATTTTTTTATACATGACAAGGAAACAAAATTTAAAGACAATATGATACACGAGGGTTTGCATATGATGAAGGATCAATGCCTAGTTGGGTGACATATGGAACCAACTAAACCTATTCCCAGAAACTTATTGAAGTCCATTGCCCAGATCTTCTTTCAAAGTGAAACTGAAATTTAAGAAAACAATTAGCTAGACTAACAAGGAAACATAAATTTAACAGCACAAACATGATTGAGGAGTAGAGATATTAGGAAGAGCAACAGTCCTCTCCCCGCACTCTAATTTTGAAATTCTAAGATAATAAAAGGGGCTGTCCGCTTATTAGAAAACTATACATTGCCCTTAAAATCCAATACTCCGTCAAAAAATAAGGCGAAATTAGGAACGGCGGTGGTACCTGAAGATCGATGGAGTCATCGGAATCAAAAGTAAATCGAAGACAATGCATAGCAGTAGCAACCATCCGCAGTGAATTGGGTGAAATAGAGGACACCAGAGTTCTGGCGGAATTTTTTTGTAATACATACAAGATGTAACCAGGCTTTGCGCATGAAAATCAAAAGGACATATATTTATATATACTACTAAATAGGTATGAGCACGGCCCCAACATTTATATTTTGTATTGTTTCCAATAATTACTTGGGTAAATCACATAAATATGCTACATTAAGAAAATATTTACTATCTATGGTAATATAATTTTTCTAACTAAATATAACAACTTTTTTAAATTAAAAAAATTGTACAGTTTATGTTCGCCAATTTCTCTGCCTTTTTTCTCTTCCTCCTCTTTTCTTCTTTTTATTCTTCTTCTTCTCGTCTTTTTCTTTGCCATTCTTTCTCTTCCTCCTTTCTTCTTCTTTTTATTCTTCTTTTTCTTTGAATTTTTCATTTAAAAAAATATCTTCAAATAAGTTTTTACCTATATTTCACAATTTTTACCCAAAAACACGACGAGAAGAGGAACAAAAATATCAAAAATTTGTACAAAATCATGTTTTAAAGCAGAAATTTCAAATCTCTAAAATTACAGCAACAAGAATTCACCATTGATGGTCATTATAAAGCTTCAAATTTTGAATTAATTATTTGAATTTTACGAATTAGTAATTAATTTGGATAGATTGTTCCTACAAATAATTGAAAACGACGTTTGGAGTTTATAACTCAATTTCAAGAAAACTTTGGTTTATCATTGATTTTAGGAGAAATATTAGATTGAAGCTCGAAAAGGTAAAGTTTATAGAACTGTATCGCAATTGTATTAAAGTTGTATTAGATATGTTTTATAATTGTATTAAAATCATGAACAATACATTTATAATACATATTGCAAACTTCACACCCTTTTTAGTGATATCAACCAAAATAATTATGTAACACACTTGTAATACATTTATAATATAATATAGGCACGATACATTTGTAATTCATATTGCAAACATCGCTTTTTTTTCTTAGTGATACAAATCAAAATAATTTATAAGATATATAGAATACATGTTTTATTCATAAATAATACATTTATAAGTACTACATGTTGCACACTTCACTTCTTTCTTAGTGATACCAACAAGAATAATTTAGGTAACACACTAATAATACACTTATAAGACATGCACAATACATTTTTAATACATATTGTTACCGTCACTCATTTTCTTAGTGATCAAAATAATTTATAAGACACATATAATATAAGTTTTATTCATGAGAAATACATTTATAATACATATATATTGCAACCGTCACTCATTTTCTTAGTGATACAAATCAAAATAATTTATAAGACACATATAATATAAATTTTATTCGTGAACAATACATTTTTAATATATATTGCAAACTTTACTCTATTCTTAGTGATACCAACCAAATGATTTAGGTAACACACTTATTATACATTTATAATACGTGCACACTATATTTTTAATACATATTGCAAACATCACTCATGTTCTTAATGATACAAACCAAAATAATTTATAAGAAACATAAAATACATGTTTTATTCATGAATAACACAAGTTTAATTCAGTTTATAGATTATTGTCTTGTCTTTCGTTAGTTACGTTTTTCATTTATTCTTAATTCTCGCTTCTACAACTTTAATATTGTGTAATACACTTTTAATGCAAATTTAATTCATTTTGAAGTTTATTATATGTTACTATTAGATTACTTGTTTAATTCATTATTGATATAAGTTTAATTCACTGTATATATCATTGGCTAGTCTTTCATTAGTTACTTTTTATATTCATGCTTAATTCTCTCTTCTAATTCAACTTTAATATTTGTGTAATACACTTTTAAATACAAGTTAATTCATTTTGCAGTTTATTGGTTGATTTGTTAGGATTGAATTACTTGTTTAATTCACTATTGATACAAGTTTTATTCAGTTTACATATCACAGAATGCTCTTTCGTTTGCTACATTTTCCATTCATGTTTAATTCAACTTTAATATGTGTGTAATACATTTTAATTCAAGTTTAATTCATTTGACAGTTTATTATGTTTCTTCATTTGTTACGATTAAATTACTTGTCTAATTAATTATTGATACAAGTTTTATTCAGTCTACGAATCATTGACTGCTCATTCATTTGCTACATTTTGTATTCGTGTTTATTTCTCTTCTAATTCAATTTTAATATGTGTATAATACATTTTTAATTCAAGTTTAATTCATTTTGTAATTTATTGCTGATGTTTCGGAACAAAAAAAATGATTAATTTGACCGTATTAGTTTACTTCAATTTATAAGACATGTATAATACATATTTTATTCATTAAGAACATAAGCTCAGAAATTATAGTGGTTGACAACTTAATTTCCAGGGACAAATAGAGAAAGAATGAACTCAGGAATTTATTCTCCCTTTTAGAGGCATAACGAACTGAATGTATGGCCGAAGATTGTGGATCTTTCAATTATAATATTAAAAAATTGACACCTTGCACATGGAGGCAAAAAAAGAGAGAAAGAGGGGACAGATAAAAAGGAGAAAGAGGCGAGACAAAAAACAGAAATCTAATAAAATATATAATATTGTTATATATTGTTATAAATGGTAATAAATAGAGAGTATATTTAAAATAAGTAATTATTTTTTAAAATGGATTCACCCAAGTAATTATTCCTAATTACTTTGGCTTAGTTTCTCTAATTTACTGTTGTTATCTCTATTATACAGCTTTTCAGACAACTTATAAGCTTCAGTTTAGAATAAAACTAAAAAAAATTATGGGCAAGTATATAAGCTTCTGTCTATCGGAGAATTGATTCCACTGGTATATAGTTTACTACTTACTGAAGCAACAAAAAATTGGTAAATAAGAACTTACAGTTGAAGCAAAAATATCACAAGCTTCTGCTGAAATTTCTTAACATAACATTGTATCATAGTAGTAACTTCATTGATTCTTCCAATAGTTATTTGGTCTTCATATAATACAAGTTATTCAACTCAAATGATACAAAGTGAATATTCATCTTGCATTTCACAAACGAACTTAGGCATCTTGTTGTTTCAAGCTTTGATATGATAAATAAATTTGTCACGGTTTCAGCTTAAATACATCAACAACCTCTGTACATTTTGAAACTGGACCCCGAGGAGAGGGATAAAGTAATGAACTCGCAATATGTCTTCACAACGAAGCCTGACAAACTGTTCAACTGTGAAGTTACCTCCATGCTTCATCATCATTGACAAATGACATTGAATGGGAAATTCTTAACTATTGTGTTACTATTCCATGGAATAAAAGCCACATTTCATTAGCAGTACATTCGGAGCAAGTTTCAAAGCTGCAATAAAAACAAAAACAAAATATCATATAGGACATGCATAAGCTATAGGGAGTGATAAGTAATATCTCACTTCTTTCTGAGCTACTGCCCCTTCCAGGCCTCCCATCATGCATGTTTGTTCAATTTGACTCCACGGTATTTTAAACTTTATCTAAACAATTCAGTGCTCTGACATTAATATATCAAATATATGCACAAACTCTTCCTTTGAGATGCTCGACATCTACATACCAGTCACAAGACAATAATGTGCATTGAAAGAAGGTACAAGTTGGTGATAGGGGAGACTTATTCCTTATTTTTGTCAAGCTGCACTTCACGAATAATAGTGAACCAAATTCAGTTTTCTAAGTGCAAAAAAAGCTTTCATACTTAAATGGATCAATGGTTGTTTATCCCACACACCTGCTTTAGATCATGGTGATCGTCATTGTCATTGAAATTGATATCGGCATCAAGTCCTCTAAATTTAATTGCAGCATGATATATGCCCTGAAATTAATATGGAAATCTAACACCATACAATCCTATTCCAGCTAATTAAATAGTACCATTATAACTTCGCTAATGAAATTCAAAATCTAATTACTATGTTGTTCCTAGCAGCAGTGTGTGCAGTGTTAAATCCTCCTATAAGATTCAAATTCTCGATAAAAAAATGTCTAACTAAAGCTTGCAGTTACTTAGAAACAATTCATGAATGAAGTATGAGAGAACTTTAAATCAGCAGAGCAGTTGTATATTAAAAATTACATTTGCTTACCCAAGTAGACTTGTTTCAGCAATCCATGCATGATATGTATTTCATATAAACTTCAGTTACTTTCAAGCTATATCTTCATGTAATTATCGGTATTTCAATAGAACAATAGTTTCTTCTGTGAATTAAGAAATTATATGTCGTTCAATACTGATTATTGGTGGAGACATAAAGGACTTATTCATGTGTGAAATGTTCAATGTATGACTTGATAAAGTTGGAAAAGTACACTTTCAGGGAGAATATTGAGATCAAAGGACCTCTTCTCCTTTGTGATGATTGGAACTCCTTAAGTGAGAGTGGCATCGTCCACATGTATACTGAAATAAGTGTAAAAGAACATGTTCCAAAGCTATGAGCTACCTAAAGGTGAAAAGACGGTGGATTGTTTCCTTCCTAATCTTCTCCCTACATGTAACTCCTATTGTATAAGTTGGAACCTTTTATTGTAGATTACCTTCTGCAAAAGATATTGTAATTAGGCAGATAATGTAACTTCAACAAAACGATTGTGTTAAATATGTCACAATATATACATGCAGAAATAAATCATGTTTAGCAATAATACCTACAAAGACGTTTGCAAGTCAAACCAAAAATAGAAAGAAAGAAAAGCAGACTTCTAATACTCTTTTTGCCTGAAAATTAAAAAATACATCTATACTTGAAAGCATATAGAAGTAAACAAACCTACATACTCTTCTTGTCTGAGAATTTAAAACAGACCTCTATACTTGAGAGCAAATATCAGATAATATCTTAAGGTATTTCTTTTTCTTCAGAATATTTTATAGGCAGCATAAAAAGTGCTCCTTACAGAAATGGAAAAATAAAATGCATCTTGTGCACTGTAAGTTAATTTTTTATACAACATCTTAATATCCCAAAAGTGAGTTAACCAATACAAATATCTACCAAGGCATAACCTATATTGTTAATAGCAAAATGATATGAGGACAACTTATTCACATCATAAGAACAAGAACTTACAAAAATATGTTTACAACATCACTATTCTAACCATTATCCAAGCTTAAGTGTTTTTTATTTTGTCAAATTCTGAAAAATGGAATGTCCAATTTATCATTTTCAATGTAATTGTAGTATCATTAGGATAGGAAACTATTTGGCCAGCTAATGTGCTATCATACTAGCCTCTCTAAGACGGTGGCCTATAACAAATATTACTGAATCAGCTTTTTCTTCACCACTCGTGGAATTACACTGGATATGTCAATGTTGTTCTCTCCAATTGCCATGTAAATTTCTATATTAATAATTAACATAGAGTTAGATTTTATTTACATAGCTGTAGTGATTCTGAAATGCACCGACATAAGCCTAATAATATGACTTCAGTCGATAATATTGTAAATCATTGTTAGAGAAAATTGCATAATAGTCAAAACATGCTACTACCAGTTCTATTTTCCAATGAAAATGGTTCCTACTCCAACTTCACCAGGCTTTCCTTTAGAACATACATCAACATTTCACTTAAATTTATGGAGTTCAGATTTTTCCGAAAACAATCTGAAGATTTTGTTTCACCTTTTTCAATAATGCATCAGATATTATCTATCTACATCCTATCAAAAGTTATACCAAAAAATATATAGTATGGAACACTTTATAGCTAACATATTAATTACTTCAAAATTTGCATTACACTTTGCCTTCAATAGTTTTCAACATATCACAAAGGGAATGCATTGCATCATCACTTGTTGAATGCTCTTAGACTAAAAAGATGATGCATAACTTTTGGGATGAGCAAAATGATAATTTTCCCTTGGTAGTTCCACACTTGAATGAGTCGAAAAAACTGACTCATCAGTTATAGTATATAATATATTAAACAAAAATGAAATCATAATGTAGAAAAATGGAAATCTAAATCTTGAATAATGTGGAGCCAAAAGAATTGGAGGGGAAAATGATAGATTGTATTTACTTTGACGTCTAAATGCCTCACACATATTAAAATGAAAATGCAATATAAATCACGAAACACAAAAAATATAGTTAACGTCATTATTTTCTCCCTCCAAGATTTTTTTGAGTGTCATTGAAATAATGTAGCGTATTTGTTGCTACATTTCAGCAACAATTTAAGTATAAAACAACATCAAATTCAAGGTTAAATCAGACAAGTTTGAACATTCCATAGAAGTCTACCAACTTCAGAAACAAGAAATACTCCACAGATGCAATTCATTAGCTGTACAAACATACATGAGATAAACAGTCAAATTTTAATGGTACAGGACATATTCTCTAAGCAATGATATTCCACACATCCCATGTATGCCATTATGATCTTTTCAGCGTGGCTATCAATCAAGATTCTCAATAACACTCCTATACAAAAATTAATCTGCAGATTTAAGAGACCTCAACAACAAAACAGAAGAATAGAACAAATAGAAAGGTGTACATGACACATCAATTTATAAGTATTTGAGAGTTGGGGATGGGAAGTTTTGAAAATACAGCGAGTCCAAAGTTTTTGAGTTCAAATAACTCATTTGAATCCTAAGGCTATATACAATGTCATCTTTTGATATTTCACTGTTTTGCAAGAAAACAAGAATAGAGAATGGGGATCAGTAAGATTGGGAAGATGATATGTTTCATATGAACATGGGATGTTTGGGGGATATTTGAGCCAAATTTGGCACTTACCCCCCTTGGCCAATCTATCAGATTTCACAAAAGACTATTTTATATCCATTTGCTTTTTCTTTGGTAAAAGGCACTTACATATGAACAATTCGACCTCTAAATCTGCACCAGAATTTGAATACCGACATGAATGTTGGTGTGAAATCCGAACAACATAAGTGTCTAGTCATAAAAGTAGATGAATGTAGTCATTTCAATATCAATTGAGCATATTTATTGGAATTTAGCAATCACATTTATGATTTATTCATAGAAGTGCAAATTTACCTTCCCTTCCACGACTGTGACATTACTCGTGAAGTTGTAGGTGACATCTTGATCAATTGAATCTTTGTTCCAGTGCAATTCCTGTTTATTATCCTTGACAAGAATAAAAAAAAATCAACTAATAAAACGTTCCCAAAAAGATAAATTGAATCTTTAAAACCAAGCATGCTCACATTTCACAGGGTTAAGACCCACAAACAAAAATGGAACAAGAAATCATAAAAAGGCCTATGCATCAAGTGTGTGTGTATATATATATATATATATATATATATATATATATATATATATATATATATATATGCACACACATATGTAACAAGAGTTGTAGGGTATTATCATCATAGTTAAGCAACCCACTCTAGCAAACAAATTGATAGTAAACATGAATACCGAGTTTGAGCACAAAAGAGATGAACAAGTTTAAGGAAGATGGATACCCAACTTGAGCTTGAAAAAGATTTGGGTAAAAAGTGTAAACGAATCATATGCTTAATACGATGATACCTGAGAAGATGAAGAGATTTGAGAGTGTGGTATGAAATTAAGGAAATATTACGTCTATTGTTTGTTTGGAATGTTAAAGAAGAAGACCGATGATTCTAGAACATGATATGTCGGTATGAAATTATCAGAATAATCTTGGTCGTCCTCCTCTTCATATTTCTATCTAATAGAAATAGAAATTATTATATATAAAATGGTTTATGAGCATCAAAAAGCAATTACAAACTTCATCTTAACATTCTTATTTTGTGCAATTAATAGCAACATAATTCTTAGAGAGAACTAACCATGGTAATTTTCTTACCGCAAAGGAAGATATCAAAAAATAAATAAATGAGCTCACAAAATTTTGTGAGTGTAGGTTTGAATGCATGAGATTTTTGCAGAGTGAACCGAAGAAGATGGACCAGACAGTAATTTATTATTTCTTAGGTATAAATGTGCAACTATATAATTTAATTTTGCATATATGTGTGAGGACAACATAAATCTTTACATCATCAATTATAAGAAAAAATTGGGGGAGAGAATTAGACAGAATAATAACGATGTCAAACCTATATTTTAGTGGTAAAATTTAGAAGTTTGAAAAGAACTGGAAGAAATTTGTTGCAAAATTGAAAGAAGAACATACCTGGAATTCGTTGTTGTTGGAGCAAGAGAAATGGAAGAACTGATTCTTGTGTTGAAAATATTGTGTCTATTTCGTAGTCAGATCTTAATGATGAACCCACTGCCTAGTGTTGGAAAGGCATATGCCATGATCATGGCTGATGAAGGGCAAAGGATGACAGCAAGCACACACAGTGTAGGGGGCATTCTAGAGCCTATTGCTTTGTATGCTGGAAGAAGCGATTATCAAAGGAAATCGCAGGTGAAGAAGAAAAATTGGGATAAAATTTGTGACTATTGTAAGATTCAAGGTCATATTAAGGAGAACTGTTTCAGATTAATTGGATACCCTCCTGATTGGAAATTCAAGAAGAAATCAGGACCAATAGCTAGTCAAGGCAATCAACCAAAAATGGCAAACAATGTGACTGATAAAGGACATGAGGCAAGTTATAAGACAGATCCAGCTGATGCTTTTGCACCTAGGCTCCAGGAGCAAAATCTGTATCATCAGTTCAGGCACATGATGGATAAGAAGGAACCAACTTCAAGCTCAGGAGGTTCAATTGGCATGGTTAATATGACAGGTATATCTTCTACACCTAATTCGTTATTTGTAACAATTGATGAAGTAAAAAAGGAACAGAGGTGGATAGTAGATTCGGGAGCCACATGTCATATCACATCTAAACTCTCTAGGTTGAGTTCTGCATACAGTTGTGTAGGAAAAAATGTGCAGTTACCTAATGGTGAACATACTTCAGTAACACATATTGGTCAATGCAAAGTTGTTAATGATGGTGTGCTGACGAATGTCTTAGTTGTGCCTACATTCAAGTATGATTTACTTTCAATCTCACAGTTAACAAGACAGTTGAGATGCTCAGTTAATTTTTTCCCTGAGTTCTTTGTCATTTAGGACCTCTCCAATGGGAAGGTGAAGGGGATTGGTAAGGAGATTGATGGATCGTACTACCTTTATGCTCAGAGAAAATGCAAAAAAGGCAGAAGTAATGGGATGGTATCCATGATACAACATTCAACTTCACGCAACCTGATTTGGCACAACAGACTAGGACATCCTTCTCCAAAGGTGTTAAAACATATATGTGGAGATACTGTTGCTGTTGATTTTAGTGCATG